CCCCCCCCTCCCCCAGCCCCCCCGGTTCCGCCGTCCCTGCCTTATTATTTTAAAGAAAGATTATTTTATGTTTGAGAGTACAGTTAGACTGAGAGATCAAACAAACCGAGAAGTTGACCCCATGAAAAAGCACATTATTATGYACTGTTTTCAATGCGTTCGGCTAATGTGAAGTTCGACTTTGATAATAGTCTTAGCTATGAATCAGAGATCAGCCTGCGCAGGAAGTTTTTCTCCTCTCAACCCTGCGAGAAGATTTCTGGCTGCAAGTGTAGCCATTTCCGTCCTTGTTGCGTCCTCCGCGCTACCAATATGAGGAAGAATAACTAGAAGAAAATAACGGGATAGTGAACGAAAAAATATCTAGTGGAAAACGTAAGCCTTGCGCAAAATCTTTCTAAATCGGGCAAGCGCACCTTTCGTAGACTAATACCCCAATAAAATGAAGCTGGTCGGTTTACAGAGGTTACTATATTAAGTGGTTATTGCATTGGTGTTGAAAACCAAGGGGGCCCCCTTCGTCGCAGCTTTATAGATTTTATACTTACTATCTGTGTTACATAACATTGGTCAAGCATCTGACCAAGGCGGTCGATTGAACTGGGGTGTTTATGCAGTGTAGTATTGGTCGCATTTAAAAGTTTTTTTTTCATGAGAACTAAATAGATTCACCGATCTGAAGATTTAAAAATTAACAGCTAGCTTACCGCAGTTTTTAAGTGTCAACAGCTTGTGGTCGGTTGGTAGAGGTTCGGGCACAGTTACATCCAGCCCCGCAGCCTRTTGCAAGAATATAAAAACATGATAGTCCTTTTCCACTTTGCTCAGGGTGGCGTCGCTCAGGGTAAGAAATAAGTGGAGAAAAAAGCGAGCGTCGAAGTCGCGATTGTGAAATTGCCTTCGTGAGGTGCGAGTGATCCTGGTTGGCTTGCGTGTGCTTTATTAAGCGTGCGCAAGAGAATATTACWTCATATTCTCTTGGCGTGCGTTAACTAATAYGTAATAGGAAATCGCACGGTCTCGAGTGCAATTCGAAATTTATAGGTACGACTGATGTTTTGAAAGTTGAATATTACAGGGTGGCGTTTGATGGGCTTCCTGTGGTTGAAAATTTTAGGCGCGCAGGAAAGTAAAGTTGAGCCAACGAAACATATATAATTTTTCCTTTCTTAGTACAGTAAAAATAGTTCTAACATTCTAGATTTTTACTGACTCCCTCTGGAAATGGAGAAGTAAAAGTAGTCACATATCATAAACTATCTGTGATGTTCTAAAATCATCATACCCTAATGTTTCYATTTAATAATGCATCATAAAGGTCATCTTGATTAACAACCCCGCCTCTGTGAAAACACATTAAGAAATTAGATAAGATTTCACGAAAAATACCACCGCCATGGTGTATACTGATTTACTATGTTTTGTCTTTTTGTCTGTTCAATTATTTTTTGCTAACAAATTCCCACGGGGGGGGGTACTCCCACATATGGACTATACGGGGATGATCCACTGAACAGGGTATGGTTTTTCTAGCTTCTTATCATAAACAGGGTATGCAATTTCACTCAAGTTCCAAGTTCTTCCTGAGTTTCCTGTCATATTCAGGGATTCTACTTTCGTATTGACCGAAACTGGTTATTATGGTCGTAAAAAAACGATACGCGAGATTACATGATAATTGAAACAGGAACTCAGTGCAATAAATTATATCTTTTGTCATGAACAGGGTCCACAAAATTGAGTTTTTTTACCATAAACTGGGTACCCCTTTCAGAATCCCAGCGGAACACCCCTACCCAAATTCTGGCGGAGTACCCCCCGGGATACAATTTCAACACAATTTCCTGTCCAGATTACTTAAGGCTAATCATAGTTAACAGAGAGGTATAGACCCATCTATTAACTATGGACAAATGAAGTACATAGACATACCTACTGGAGTTGACAAATATAGCAGAGGGTTTCATCTTGGAAAAAGCATCTTTGTTAAACATTTCTAGCACATGATGAGATAATWTTAGTTTTAGTTTTAATCTTAGTTTTTGTTAGCCTCACAAAGCTTCTACTTTTGGGTATCCTGTGTTGTCTTTCCCTCTGACACCACATGACTCCCATAAAATAGAGTAGACTAGGAGATTTGCTAGCTTTTCTTACCATTAGTCTCAGGCGTCAATGCCAGACAGCCAACCACAAAGTCAGATTCTCTGAGTAAAGTATCAGTGCTAACTGAGAAGAAAATTTTAAAAAAATGATGAACTAAGGTTTTACTAAAACAAAATCTTGAAAAGGTCTCTTACCATATGCTGCATTGACCTCTGCTTCAGCTGTAAAAAACCGGAAAAAAGAGAAAACCAAATATRAGAAATGGACAAAAACTGAAGACATAAAAAGGGCTGTAAATAATGTTCAGTATTACCTTGTTTATGAGGGCTACGTCCAGAATATAATATCTTTGAAACACCAAAGGGTACAAGTCTCTTGGCAACTGCTACACCTAAAGACAAAAACAGGAAGGCATGAATGGATGGACAGATGGATGGATGAACAATGAAATGGATGGCGGGACAAACAAAGGAATGGATGAACGAAGGCATGAATGGATGGACAGATGGATGGATGAACAATGAAATGGATGGCTGGACAAACAAAGGAATGGATGAATGGATGAAAAGTATAAGAAAAACAAGCATGTCTTGCATTCATATACATCTATTAAAAAACTCAAGGAAGAAAGTGCAGCATGAAAGTTGTACATTAAAATGACTGAGCAATATGTTTAAATACCAATTCTTCCAAGTCCAACAATCCCAACAGTGCTGCCCATAAGAGTTGATCCACACATCCACAGAGGTTTCCATGTGCTCCACCCTCCACTAAAGGCACCAACAAATAAAAACAATGATACATATTAGTGGTATTGACTTTCCAACAACTTCACCAACTCCTAATCATGACCACACTAACAAGATACAGAAATGTAAACTCATGCTCACATGTTTGATCCAACAACATTGGGCATTATACCCTGGGTACTAGAGGCTTTCTCACTCCAGTGCTTTGATAACAAAACCTTGAACCAATAACAAGAAGCACTAGAGCCAGAGAGCCTCTAGAATTCAGTATATGGGCATTAGGAATAAGGTCAAAAAATTGTCATTTTACTCGTCCTATTTAGAAAAAAATAAAATCAGGTTCATATTTTGGACCATTACTTTGACCTTATCCCCAATACTTCAAAAAGATCTATCTTTAGTTGGTATTTTATTTAGTCTTACTTTTTGACTTCTGCTGCAGATTCGATAAGTCTTCTACTAGTTGCCAGTAACAGTGCAACAGTCAGCGTTGCCTAGAATGATCATTTTTTAAGGTTTAGAAAACACATTAGGGTGCATATGGTTCTATGACAGCCATGTCATTCAAATAAATAAAATATTATTTTGGCAAATAAGCACAATGAACATCAACAGCAACAGGAAGCCCACAATGTAAAGTCAGTGTAAATACTTACAGTAGCATCAGTGAGAACATTAGGTGTGTAACCCAGTGGAATGTTTCTGTATTTAACCAAGATTATTAGATTAGTAAAATATTATTATTTCCTGTTGCATAAGAAAAATAATTGGGATCAGTAGGTCAGATTTTTTATTATTATTTATTTTTAACTTTTTTACTGATACAACAGTTGAAATGAGCTTACTGGGAACCCTGTGGTGCATTTGGGAATGAAAAAAAGGGTCAGCAAAAATCAGCAAGAAAATTAAGGTCAGTCGCACAACAGGAAACACACTTATTTTTTTGTTTGGCCTTAGCAAAAACTCTACATTGAGTGCTTGCCTTACCAATGTGACTAAGGTTTGATTCTCAAACTCATTGTCCTATGTAAGTTGAGCTTTTTGTTGGTTCTCTCCTATTTAAGAGATTTCTTTCTCTTCTTCTCCAGTTTTCCTCTGCAAAAATTTAAAGTTCTAGATTCTTTTTGCAGTCAGTGGATATAGAATTACTGTGTCCATGCCATGCATCCCAGCCCTTTTTCAATCAGAGTCCCCTCCCCCCGATTTTCTAAGGCTTTAATATGCTGAAACAGAAATAGTTCCATGCCAGTTCCATGCCTGTTCCATGCCTGTCAAACAAACCCTACTCACATGTTATTCAGAGTCCAGGAATTGAACCTGAAACCCCAGATGTGAGATGCAAGTTTACAACCACTACACCCCTATTTGATTCCTTAAATTTAATCAGTTCTCTTGTAATAAAATGAAATTAAAAAAGTGAACAGTTCCCACTGTACCTTTTCTTAAGTTCACTAGTGGTCACATGATCATAGCCTACTGACATAGTACTGACAACTTTAAGCTGTTCACCTGTAAAATATCATAACAGACATTGGTAATGCCATTAACTAGTGATGAGAGCCCGACTTGGAAGACTGAGCAATCACTTTTTGAAAATGTGTTGCTTAACGTAACTCTAACCTGCTGTATCTAACAACTCAGCATCAACCTTCTCAGTCAACAGGACATACAGCCCATCTTTGCCTTGAGCTCTTTTCAGTAGTTCTTCTCTTGGKATTGGGTCATCAGAGTCCCATACATCCAGCTCACAGCTAAGAAAGCAAGACAATGCAACAAAACTGGGCAAATAGACTTTATTTTAAAGAAATATATGCARAGTAATAGCACTTGATTTAGAACAAAGTCTGAGGCAAGCACTATGTATTAAGACAGAGAAACAGAGCAAGGATCGAACTCATAAGGGGGTCCCTCAGGGGTTTCAGCATTGTCAACCAGTGCTATTTTATATWATTCTGCTAGTTACTGACCTGAGAAAAAATTATAATATTCAGTATGCATGCTTGATAATTCTTAAAGTCGTTTTCATACACACCTTTGGGAATTCCTCAAAATCTCCATGGCAGGCAGAGGCACTCGACGAGTAACTAGTACTTTATTATTTGCTTTTGTCGCTATTGTTCTTGTACAGTTTAAAGCGGGCTTCCAAGCTCTCCTTAGAAGAAGCATGGTGGTGTTCCTATGCTTATATTTGTCCTTCAAATATTTAAAACTACTCGAAAAAGGCTAGAACTGTCATAAAAAATGGGGAAATTCTCGAGTTACTGCATCATATAATAGACCTTTTGTCAGATACTATAATTAGAGTGAAAGCGCGGTTTTTACGAAGTAAAATTAGACAAACTGAGGGAGAAATCGCTGCAGTTCTATAAWCACGAAATTTAGCAGGCGTTCCTCCGTTAACACACCCGCAAGGGCTGCTGGATAAAACTTAGACAGTAAATTTGAAAAATAAAATGACTGCATAAAATTGAAAAAGACGATGTTAATTTTTTTATCAATGTTTGTATCGATTCCTTGCATTTTTGGTTCAATAAAGCCTTCACAACAATGGATAACTATATYTATATTCATTTACCTTGGGCTTCCTGTGGTAAAGCTTTCCTTGCACTGTACAGGGTCCTGAATGTGGGGTCCTAATCCCATTTCCAAGTCATCATTTTGCCCAAAACCCATAGTCCCAGCCTATGTAGTGCTTAAATCGCTATCCCATCCTTTGATTGTTTTCTTTTTTTTGGATCTCACTCCCTGTGCATGAAATCCCATTTTCCCAGCACAAAAAAGGTGAATTCCAGCTCCCATTTTTAACTCTTCAGGTCCCTAACCATAGCACAACCTGTCAGAGATATTACTGCATATGCTCAAAGAAGAGGGGAAGGTTGTTCAATGGTAAAGAAATCATAGTTATATGGTTTTATTTTCTCATCCCCAGTAACCAAGCAATATTCATATGCAAGGATAGAGTGATTTTACTTGCCTGTAATACAAAGTTGTATATAAGTAACTAACAGTACAAGTAAAAGAAAAGAAAGCAGTGGAATTTGTATCTAGTACTAAGTATTACATTGACTATTCTTTCACYGGCAAAGTAAAATCACTCTACCAAATGCCTCTGACTCTTTTCTTTTTTTTTTTTTTTTGTGAAATAATATGTGGACTACATGTATTATTTTCTGTTGTAATTAGTTTATTGGTGATGGCTTAGACTTTGATTGAACGATGAATATATCATAAAACAAAGTCAAGCAGCCAAAGCAAATCTAGCACTCATTTCTTACAAATGTTTTTTACATTTYATACCTGAAATGCACACTACTTTTTCAAATTTGAGAACACAATTCCAGGGCTTAAAATAATGGCTTGATGTCGGACAATGTCAACCCAGAATTAGATCTTTGCATTGCCAGTCTTTTTGACCAGTAATGTTAAGCAATAAACAAGGTATGACTGAGCTAAAACTAATTTGGCCGGCCATCATGACTGGCAGCTTACCAACGATTATTTCAAGCCCTGCAATTCAATGCTCAAGGTGAAACGATTTTGTGGCAGAGCACATTGCTAGCAGGTGCTCTCACATCAATATTAGACATGTTATGTGAGTGAAGCTCTCGTGCATCATTCAAGCAAATATGTTATTATTCTGCAGTAGGAGCMGCACCAGATTCTGAACCCTCTCTACCGGAAGCCTTCTTGGTTCCTGAGACAATGTCATCAATACGAAGCAACAACATGGCAGTCTAAAGATAAATAAAATAGAAATGTTAATGTACAAAATACCTGACATAAAACCCCTCTATAACAAATCATACTGTGTGGTTCCAGAAAATATAAGAAATCAGAAATTCCCAAGGGGTGGGGGGTTAGAAGAAAAATGAAATTACAATGAAATTCGAGGTTAAATAAAGTTTATGTATGTATGTATGTATGTATGTATGTATGTACAAGTTTTGTATAAGTCTTGATGGCGGGGAAAGGAAATTTTCTGGAATGAGGCATTGATAATTAAATAACAAGAGTAGCAAGTGCTTTGGTTTACCTCCAGAGCAGTTTTAAATGTTTGGGCCTTAACAGAGTAAGTATCCCAGACTCCTAGCTCAGTCATGTCCACTATTTCACCAGTTTCTCCATTAACACCCCATGTGGTATTCCCTGGAGTTGCATGCTTGGCCTGTTGGTGTTAACACAAGAAATGACTATCAAAACCATAATAATAAAAATTATTTATAATTATTTGAGTCTTGGAAATGTAAGAGAAAATCTTCAAACTTCAATAATGTATAGGGAAAGTTTGTTACTACATGATGTTTGAAGTCAGTGCTTGAAGAAATTTCCTCCTCAAACCTTCCAAACTTAAAAAATTTAAAATTCTTTTTTGCTGAGGTACATTGTGTACATGAAAATATTTCCTAGACTAACAAAACATAGGTGTTCTTTGACAGAATTAACGAAAATWAAAATTAAAAGAAATAGTTTGCATACCCTAAGTGCTGTGAGGGTTCTGATAGTGTTAGCTCCACAGTTTTGTATAAGAGTTCTGGGAATTACTTCTAGTGCTTTACCCACAGCACGGTATGGCCATTGCTGGATTCCAGCTACGGACTTGGACTTCTCGATTAATGCCTGGAATTAAGTTAATTAAGTTAACAGCACTGCACAGCACCCAAAAAACACTTTGTCCCACCTCCTCTCACCTCAACTAAACCTACTCAATCAGACCCCACACTATCCATCAACCCCACTTTATCCCACAATGCAACACCTCTAACTAACAGACCTCCCTTTAAACCTCCCCCACCACATTATACCCCACACTATCCATCAACCCTACTTTATCCCACAATGCAACACCTCTTACTTTCCCAGCCCACTTTAAATCTCACACCACAACAATTATATACACCTTTCTGCTCCACAGTTCATCTTATCTTACAACAACTGAACTGCCAATATTACTAGCTACTAACAATAGGAATTATTCCTGTCTGACTTACATGAGCTAAAGCCATTTCACAAGCACCACCTCCAGGGACAAGCCTTGGATCTTGGATCACATTGCGAGCAACGTTCATAGCATCTTGAAGGTTTCTCTCGACCTGATAAGGTTTAAGATTAAATGATAATGTATAATTATAAAATGCATCCTTTCCTATGCGTTTTACACTATTTAATCATCTATTTCATTTGTTATAGCAGTATRAGTTTCTCTAGCACAGGCTTTAAATTTAATTTGTATGAGTATAAAGAGAAAGACAATTACCTCATTCAAGATATCTTTACTTGCTCCTCTAAGTAAAATAGTACAGGCTTTGGGGTTCTTGCATTCAGTAATAAAAGTGAAATATCTGATGGGCAAATACAGCAAAGATAAAAAATATTAAAATACAATAAATGTATTAAAAAAAGAGCAGATTTWAAAAAAAGCCAAACTGAAGTCTTGGTTTAATCCCTGGTCAAGGCACTAGAAAAAAAAGTGAAAACCTGGCACCCTACATTAGGAACTTTGTATCCCTTGTAGCTTAGATGACTACGTTAAAYGGCAGTCCTGTCTTCAAATAGGGATGCAAAGGGACCTGCATAAGAACCACTGAGGACGCTAATGAACCTTAGCCATAACCACACTGACAGTGCTAGTAAAAGCAATCTAAGAATCTTCCCAATAGACTACTTAGTGTATGAGACATTGAATTTCATTGTTAACCACATTACAAATTACAACTGGTAATACTTATGGAAGGAAGATGAGTGGTAGAAAAACACAGGAGTATATTATTATACTATGTATGTGGGAAATCATTCTGCATCAACTACCATAAGAATTTGTCACTTACTCATCTCCAAATTTATTAATCTCAAAGAGACCAGCACCAGTTCCAACATCTTCTTCTTTAAGCTCATCAGTTCTATTAAGAATAGTAGCACCAGTGGCACGTGCAATCCTGTTGTTATCAGTTTTCCTGACTCTACGGATAGCTGATATGTTTGCCTTCATCAGAAAATGCTGAGCAAGATCTATATGGGTATTTAAGAGAATTATAATCAACAAGCATTCTGTTTACACCTACTTGCAAGAACGTTGTCATACGACATTAGAACATTAGTAATTCAGTGAGAAAGGAATACATTAAAAGACAAAAAAAAAGTTCTTCTTTTGTCTTTTAATATAATTCCTATCSCACTAAATCACTAATGTTCTATTTTCGTATGACAACGTTCTTGCAAGTAGGTGTATATTATTATTCGTACATGTGTATAAAAGTCATGCACACCTGAAATGCCTTTTTCTGTAATCACAAGGTCAGGCTTAACAGCAATGATGTCATCACACAGCTTCTTGATGTACTCCTCTTCAAGCTCTAGAATTCGGCTGTAAAATAACTTTCATCAATACTTATACAATATTTAAGAAAATAGGTTTTTGCATGCTCTCAGTATTTCAGTAGTAAGCACTTTAAAATGAACAAATTGAAGGCTAGTAATGCCCAATTTCATAAGCTTCCTAAGTATTGTACTACTGAAAAAAGCACAGATTTATTATAATTAYGAAAAGAAAACTCCATTGTAGTTTTAAATGCTGTTTTCTTACACTTCTTTGCAAAGCAGGGCATACATATACAGATTGCATCAGCACTGTGCTCTGTTTACTAATACACCACAGTCCTTGACCAATCAGAGTGTGTGTAGTAGGTGAGGTAGTTAAACGATCTATGGTTTTATATACCACTTACTTGAAGTCTGTTTCACCAGAGATTTCTAGACTTGTCTAGAAGGTAATGATAGAACAAAATATATTGGACTCTGTATATTTTGCACACGCACAGTGGACACTTGTCAATTGAATTTATCATTGTTAATTTTTTTACCTGGCTTTCTCCCTTCTTGTACTCAAGGTTACAGTCCAAAAGCACAATTCTAGGGTTYTCAATGCGTCTAAAGTAAGAAAAGCATCAAAGTAATTAGGGTATGATGGATAATTTGTAAACCATAAAGAATTTTATGGGAAGTAAACCTTTTCATTCTGCCATGGGTTACATCCTTGTTGATCATAACGCCAGAGAGTACTCTTGAATCTTCTATATCACCACCAGGTACCTAAATAAAATTCCACCAGAGCATTTAATTAGACCTCTTTGGTTTTGGGTGTAATGAAGAAATAAAAAACGAGCRTGCATGCTGTGTGCAGTTATAAAGTATGTGAGGGTTGGCAGAACACAAGAGAAGTGTTAGGAGAAGCACAACTCATAGCAGAGTGCTTCTCGACCCTTCTCGAGTGATCTGACAATCCCCAAGTGCTTTATATTTCCACACAGCACAGCAAGCAAGTTTTTTATGTCCTTTATAAAATACCAATTACATGAATGATTAAAATGAAAGTATRCCAGTGTGCTGTGTTCTGTGTGCTGTGTTCTCTCATAAAGCACATGCTCCCAACCAATTAKAACGCCAGATTAGAACGGTTATTTTATAAAGGCTTTTTCTTCAAGGGTTTTCTCTGGGTTACTGGTTTTCTTCCCTCCACAAAAACCAACTCCGAAATTTGACTCGCGATTGGCTACCTCTCATACATGTGAAAACATTTTTATATTTCCACGTAAACACGAGGCTAGTCAGCGGCTAGTCAGCGCAAAACAATAGTTATTCACATTGGTTGCCATATTTGAATTCAGTGTATTATTTTATTTTATTTTTTGTATCAGTGTATTATGAATTATTATTGTTTGACAAACCTTTTCTACTTTGGCATAGTTCTTAATATCAATCTCTTTTCTGCCTCCTCTATCGAGAGCAACTGTATTGACAGCATCTAGAGCTATGTTGCACGCCAAGTCACCCCTGAAATGATAAATTCATTCAAATATTAAATAAATAAATAGAATAAATTATTAGTAGGGTATGCGTGCCGAACTATTAGACTTTGAAGGATTATTAAGTTATTATTATCACCATCATCACTATTACTATCATCAACATCACCATCATCCCAACCATCATCACCATCACCATCATCACTGTCTCATATTCATCACCACCATCATCACCACCATCATCATCACCATCATCATCATCATCWTCATCACTATCGTCATCATCATATTCATCACCACCATCATCRCCACCATCATCATCACCATCATCATCATCATCATCATCATCATCATTGTCATAATCATCCTTATCATCGTCATTTGTCATCGTCATTCATGGTTCATCACTATCGTCATCATCATATTCATCACCACCATCATCGCCACCATCATCATCACCATCATCATCATCATCATTATAGGAAGTCTGACCCAGCAAGTTGCCTAAAAGAATAGATATACTTTCTAAAATYGGTGCTTACCATTTATTGATAAATTTCGTACCCACTGAACTCCTAATAATTTTTAACATTTCTTCTCTGTCTCCAACATCTACAGGTACACTACATAACATACATGGTACAGAGAAAGTTATGAGTAAAATACTAAAAGATCTTACACCAAAATGAAAAATATTTGTACCAAACTATAGCATTCAATATGAGGAAAACCTAAGAATCAAGAGAAATCCTTTAATAAAGAGAGAATCCTAACAAAAATTACTTACATGTGGCCCTAAGTTTGAGAATCAAATACAAGTCCTCAGAGGTAGGGAGAAGGTACAGTGTACTATCAAAACACCACCCTTAATTTTTCAACGACTGAAATGCATTGGGTCAGATTCTAATATCACCTCATATCATCAGTGTCAAAAAATCCATACATTGCAGCTTCTCTCTCTTGATTGAGTTTAGCATGTCAATTTTTTTCTTTATGAATAGATGTAAAGTCTAGTCACTAGTGTCTTCAAGATAAGTRACATGATAACATGAGAACAATTATATGACAAGTATTACCTGACTTGGTTTTTAAGAATATCAACAAGGTCATCCATTGCTAGGCGATATGCTGTTATAATCTGTGTAGGGTGCATCTGTTGTTCAAGGAAAGGTTCAGCAAAAGACATGAACTCTCCAGCTGTAGAAATAAAAACATTAGTTTCAGTGGCCTGGGCTACCTGTGTTAGGAGGAAGGTCGCCRTACCTGTCAGTAAAACAGTCAACATGTTTGTGGGGTGTATGTGTAAGGATGATTTGAGCAAACAAATTCACCCACTAAGCAGGTCCAGAGGACTCTATACCATCATCAATACTATGAAGTCTTACCGAGTATAATGACAGAGGTAGTACCATCACCAACTTCTTCATCTTGGGTTCTGCTTATCTCTATCATTGATTTAGCAGCAGGGTGTTGTACTTGAATCTGAAAGATAAAACATTCTAATGTTTAACATAACTGGTAACTTATATGCTTATATGTACATTACTGGCCTTCCCTGTTCTACCACCCATCACAAAGTATTCTTGTATTAAATCATTACGATTTAGATTACCTCTCTTAGGATAGCATTACCATCATTTGTCATCACCACACCACCCATGGGATCCATCAACATCTGCAAAACAAAATTTAGTTTAGAAAATCATATAACCTGTGTGTGTAAAAATGTTTTTCACCCCTCCCCCAAAGGAAGGAAAAAGGAAGAGGAGGGGGAGCTATAAGGAGTGGTTATAGGCAAGGTACAATTCAAATCCACATGTGACAATACACATTTCAATCTTTATTACTTTACAAACCTTAAGCATTGCCCTTGGACCAAGGCATGTTCTAATGACATCTGCTATAGTCTAAAAAGAAAGAAATATATATTTGATATTCAAGTTTGTATTAATATTTATTATATAATTACCAATGAAATATCTATTTTTCTCTATTTCGAAAAATTGATATCTTCACACGTGAAAATAACATGTTATTTTCACGTGTATTTTCACGTGTGAAAATAACACCATTGCGATGGCTATTCAAAAATACATGGAAATAATTGCCTGAAAAAGCCAAAACATACTCCATTGATAATTATATAATAAACAGAATATTACATGGGCGCTTGGAGATACGAAATTTATCTTCTCGTGTTGAAAATCTCTCACTCGTTCGCTGCGCTCACTTGTGAGAGATCTTTTCAACACTCGAAGATAAATTTCGTATCTCCGCGCGCCTATGTAATATCCTCTATATATCTCTTAATACCAAAGAGCATTTGACACTACTGTATAATGTACTGACAAAGATGTGGGACAACTGCAGCCAAGGACACTGGAGCATCTTAAAAAGTAGGGTGGCTTAGATTGCAAAATATGGCAGACTACTTTGCAGAAGACTAAAAAGAAGGGGTTGATCCTTAATTTATTTTTTGTGGATAATAGCTAAAAGTGTGTGTGTGGAGGGGGGGGTGGGGGGCCGTTCTCTACATGACTGTAATTGCAGCTCTACAATGTATCATCTGTCAAATATGTCAAAGGCATTATGTTTATAAAATTCCTATGCAATGTGATCAATCGAGATCGGATTTGCCAAAATGTACTGGATCTTAGCCATCATTAACACCCCTCCCCAGTTTCACAATGTACGTCTCTGCATAACTATTACTTTGCGAATCTATCTATACATTATGTGCACACACATAAATCTGTTCTGAGCACCAATATCTTACACAAAATCAAGTGGAAAAGGTTCAATATGTGAAAGAGTCACGCCCATAATTTTAGAGTAAGGAAAAAAAATCAAGAAAAAATAATTCAAACTTTTATTTCAAGAATATATAAAAGGTAAAATACACATAACCCTGAAATAATGCAAACTTCTGAGTCAAAAGCAACCCGATATACGAATTTTCTAATTTTGGGCGATGTCTTTGACTAGAAATTTATATCTTTAGGAGTTCAATAATATCAAGATCTTGTCACTTGTCATCCTAAAACAGGCCAATCTAACCTTCCCTATCAATCGAAAAGCATCACAGCACAACCTTAGGCTCAAAGAGGTATAAAAATCTTCCTATAAYACGATATTAATGGTAGGAATAGCTGGCTTCAATGTACGAGAATTATACACAATGTCATTTTCATGCAAGAATATGTACAAGAATTTCAAGCGATTCGATCCAAAAAAATTAAACTTTTCGCTACAAATTTTACTCCAATCAAAAACATAATTATCAAGCATTTAGTAATTCAATAAATCCAAAGGTTTTGAGTCTTTCATAGTTCTTTAAAGTAGTTATTTCTCACCTTTGCTGCTTGAACATTAGAAAGCTGAACTTTTCTTCCTGACTCTCTTTTAGTGTTCTGATCTGTAGCAAAAATATCCTCGTTAAATACAATTTGCACCACTACCAGTCTCAAATAGGCTTCAGAGATAAACTATATACTTACTAAGAACAATTACGGACATCTTTGTTAGGATTTAATATGTTTTTTCTAAGGTTTTTAGGGTCGAAATTTCACCGGTAAAATYCAATATGGCTGCCGCCTGCACGTGTTGGTTGACAACCAGATGAGTGGGCTGGGTGCTAGTACTTGAAGACGTGAAAGATTGGTATCTAATGTGACAGACAGACAGTCTCTGCTACTGCCGAGGAATTTTTAATTTTCTAGGTCATATAGATAGATCGTTTGAGTGCGCAAAGACACATTTTACTGGAAATCACTTTCTGAGAGTGCCCGAATTGAGTTGAGATATCCAGTTTTACTTCAAAATTTAGTTTTGTCCATTATAAGATCTGCTTCATTACGTGAATGAGGAAAGCGCGTTGAAGAACGGGCGGTATGATTATCCAATGATTGATTGACCTAGCATGTTCRCGTGAGATTCTTAATCATTTTACACCTGAAGCTCAGTTAGCCTCTAATGAATATCAGGATAACAGCAAGAAATACGTAGTATAGCGAAGGAGGAAAGACTGAAAAGAAGGAAGGAAAACCATTCGGAAAATCATGGGTACGCCCCTGAAATAAGTCATAAAAGAAATAAGGAATGAAAGAATGAGTGAAGAGACTAAAAAGAGAAGAGAAGAGAAGAGAAGAGAAGAGAAGAGAAGAGAA